GTAATGCTGGAAAATCTGTGCGCTTATATTCTTCTTGCTATGTTTTGCACGTTGGGAAATTAACTCCCACCTCTTACATGCAGTATTGTCACTGCACTGTCTGTGTAAATACAGAGAACACTTTCTTTTTATTCCAAAACCCAGCTCACGCTGACATAACACACTCATAAATCTGGCCCTTTGGGTTCAAAATACTAATGATGACTTTCCACGAATATGCAGCTACTCTCTAAGAGGCTTCATTAATCTTGGCGTTTTTGCAGTTGAATGTTTGATGACTCCAATTTGAAATACCACATGCGTTTGGGCAGAAGATGAGAATAGGAAGTTGTTTTTGTGTGAGGCCCTTTGTTTCAGTCGGTCCAGTGAGGTCCGGTGTTTTTGGACAGTGACACACTCTTTGCAGTTTTGCCTTTGGATTTGAAATCAAGCATTCAATATGTGATTGAAGTGCAGAGTTTTAGCTTTAATTCAAGAAGTTTAACAAAATGATGTCTTTAACTTTTAAGAATGCAGGCTTAAAATCATTTGACAAACTAACATAATCCTAAATTTAATGGTTGTTTTTAATACTTGGATAACAATTCTTTGCAGTCATGACTGCCTGAAGTCTGGCAGCCACGGACATCATCAAATGCTGTGTTTCCTCCTTGAGATGCTCTGCTTGGCCTTTACTGCAGACACCTACGGGTGTTGGTTGTTTGTGGGTCTGTTTGTTTTCAATCTGATCATTGAGGAATGTTTCATTTATTTGCATTGAGAAACATTTGGGTTGCTTTTGCAGTTTGCTTTGAGTATTAATGATTTACACCGTAAAGCACTGTCCAGTCAGTTTTGCAGCATGTGGGTGAATCTGAGCAGACAGTGTAGCCCTGCACACATCACAATTCATCCTGCCCCTTCTGTCAGCGGTCACATTATCAGTAATCACCTGCTTACATTGGTTAATGCCATAATATTGTCTCCACCATCATCATTGTTTGATAGATGATGTGGTATGCTTCAGATCATGAGCTGTTTCTTTCTTCCATACTTTTCTCTTCCTATCATTCTGGTACAAGTTGAGCTAAGTTTCACTCAAAGCATTTTTTTTTTCTGAACTGTGGAGACTCATTTTGATGTTTTCTGGCTGATTTCGTTTTCCTGTTCTTGAGTGTAACCAGTGGTTTGCACCTTTCTGTAAACCCTCTGCACTGCATTCATGTAGGCAGAAGCTGTTTGCCTTAACCAAGGAAAGGATTCGTCTCATAATGATATGGTTTCCGAAAGAGACTCAGGCGCAGTCCAGGGTATTCCTTTAAGCGAAGAACAGTGCGTTTATTCACAGTGAACACAATCACCAAGTGGCTATATACAACGTGCAGGGGAAACGGGTCCGGGTCGCCAGGGTCCATGGGAAACAGGGTTAGGGGAAAAGGTGCTCCACACTTTCTGTACAAAAGGCTCCTCCTCAGTCACTCCTCTCAGAATCTGGTTCCAAAAACGATCTAAACACAAAAGGTCGGGTCCCTGTGCCCCGACCATGACACATAAGTGTATCTACCAGGAGGCTGAGGCGTAGTGCTGGCCACTGCCAGCATTTTTTTCCCTTTTTGGACTCAAATAAAAGGATAGCAAATACCAATTCAACAATGATAAACAACTCCAGATACTTCATCTGCCTAATTTGTCATGGAATAACAACATAATGGACCTTTTACTCTTAGATTCTGAAAATGGGAAACAATGTATAAAATTGGATGGCTATAATTTCTACATGGTTAATGCAATGCTTTGGTTTAAACCCCCTGAATTAAAGCTGCAGGTCTGTCAGTTGAAATCCACCAGTAGTGGTGTAACGAGTAAACATGACAAAAAATGTTTCATTGTCCAGAACCTGCAGATAACTTTGTCATTGTCATAGCTTCTTCACTTCCTTTCGACAGATGTGCTCTGATGTCGTGAATTCCTTTTAGCTCTGTTTTCTGTTTTTAGAATTCTCCTAAACGTAAGCACCCGAAGTCACGCGGGCTCAAGATGGCATCTGAAAACTTAAACGACCAAACGCTACATTTGACTGTAAGACTGCATGCAGGGGAGGAGGAGGAGGAGGTGGGCGAGGAAGAAGAAGAGGAACAAGATGAAGAGTTTGGAGGATTAATCAACTCTGATGGAGAAGTGGTTGAATGGGATTCTGGTGAGTTATCAGCACCGCAGTTTTAATGAAAACCCACGACAAACAATACTCATTTATTTACACAAGGGCCCTTTCATTGATTCTGTTTCTCATGTGAATTTGTAAGCTTATTGGCTAAAGAATATCTTAAATAACAGAAGAAATGCATTTATAATCTTTCCCAGATACTCACAGCACTCATAGTTTGCATTTAGTTTATCACTACATTGACATTCCTTCTTTGTCTGGATTGCAGACTGTCAGTTTTTTCTTTAGCCTAAGGTAACTGTTTTGATTTTTACAGCAGGCAGCTCTGACCGAGGCTCTGATTTCTCAGCAGGTCCTCCACCTAGCAAGGTAATTCATTTTAACACAGTTTATCAGTTTAATGTCTAAGATTGGGTAATTACTGCATCTCAGTCACCACGGGAGTGCTTAGTCTTGTAGTGTCGACTGTTGGTGTCATAAATCAAATCAAAATTGCTCATTTGCATCTGCAGCACCACTCTTTGCCTCCTGCCCTACACAAACCTACTGCCACTGAATAGTTGGGATGTTGTACATACAGTAGTTTAAAAACTGACTGTCAGGGAAGATTTTACAGGTGGGCTTCTGATGTTTTTTAATGATTGTGATCATGCAGGAGTCTCAGCTGCGAGGCCAAAGCCAGAGAGACAGCAGCAGCCCGACGCTCATCATGGAGGTTGTTTCTGTGGGGGAAGATGAAGAAAGGGAGGACGCAGAGGAAAAAACTATAGGGGCAAAGATGAATGCTGCCTCCCCCTCATACTGTGGTAAACACAAGTGAAGGAAAACCAAAAAACTGTTAAATAATCATCACATTTGGTCCTGAGGTTATTTTGTTTTGCACTTGTTAGCAGAAAAAAGACCAAGAAGAACTAAAAAGGTTCCAGTAGTGTATGTGGAGAACTCAGACACAGAGCTAGATGTTCCTGCAAATGCTGGTGAGTGACATGAAGTAAAAAGGTAGCACTCGTGGCACATTTAGAAGAGATGGAAGGAGACCATCAGTGTAATAGATTTCTTTTCCACTTTTTTCTTCATCCGAAAGCAAAACGAAGAGGCAGAAGAAAGATTTCTCAAACTCCACTGTTGCCAGCTGAAGATTCAGAGACAGATGCAGGAGGTCAGTGAGTGATTCTTGTGTTTTCTACTGCAGCTTAACGTATGTTAACTACTCTGAAGTTACGTTATTATGACTTCATAAGTCATAATTAGTCTTTTTCTTTATCTTAAAGTATCACAGCGTACCCGAAGAAAGAGAAATTTGCATGCAGCGGCAGAACCGGAAGAATTAAACTCAAAAACTGCCCGCCATGCTGCTGGTAAGAAAAGAAAAAAATAAGCTTCAGATATTTGCTTATATGCTGTGATTCTTAAAATCTATGACTTAATTTTTTCAACAGCAAAGCGACCGTATAGACGAAGGAAAGATACCAAAACATCTGGTGAAGCAGAAGGAGAGAACATGGCTGTTTCACCAGGTAAGAAATAATAAAATGACCTAATCAGTGAATAACCAGCTCAGTGTTCAGCTGAGGTACTAAAATGGTGTTTTCTGAAAACCCAGAAAAGCTTTTCTGGTTCAATGCTCATTTAAAAAAAGACTGAGGAAAAGTGGAAAAAATTTTGTGGTCAGGCAAATTGAAATTTGAAGTTCTTTTGGAAAATATAGATGCCACGTCCTTTGGACTAAGGGAAAGGGACCGGGCAGCTTGTTATCAGCTCTCAGTTTTAAAGCCTGCTGTGATGCTATGTGGGTGCATTAGTACCTGTTGAATTGTCAGTTTGTGCATCTGGAAGGGCACCATCAGTGCTGAAAGGTATAAACAGGCTTTAGAGCAACATACACTCCCATTCAGAAATCGTTTTGAGGGAAGGCCTTGCATATTTCACCAAGACGGTACTAAACTGTATACTGCATCTATTACAACACCATGGCTTCATTAGTAGAGACTAGATTGGGACAGTATTCCCAAAAGTCCAGTAATTGGTCACCTCAGGTCCCACATGCTCCCAGACACTGTTAAAAGAAGAGAGAATGATACACAGTGGGAAAAACAGCCCTGTTTCCCACTGTATCATTTTAAGAAATATGTTTCTTGACATGATACATTTCCTTAGTTCGAGACATTTGATATGTTTTCTAGGGCTGTTCGATATAACGATATATATCGGATGACGATATAAAAACGTCTATCGTTTCATTTTACGCTATCGTTTGTTTCGTGGTGTAAAAATAAACTGTTTACAGCAATATTTTTTCATCGTTTTGATGGTCACTGTAGTGGTTATATTAATTTCCTAAAGTTCTCTCTTTCTCTTATATTTAATATAACCACACTACTGACAGACAAGCAACTGTTTTTATGCGTTGTCTTTAGCAACAACAACAATGGTAAAACCATTGCGTGTCCGCTTGTTTATTTTCCACATAAATCTTTCACAATAAAGCTCAAGATCCTGTTGAGACTTTTCAAAATAAACTGAATCACGTGAAAGAGTATGCAGAGTATTTATGGATGAGAAGCAAAAAAGAGCCGCCAGGTGCTAAAAAATAAACCTTAGATTCAAATGTTAGAACAGGCTGTTCCCCGCAGCACGCCGTGTAATAAATACTCACAAAGAAAACGGCAGCCGTTACAACTTATGTCTAAAAATGTATAGCTTCATGCATCGGTTAAAACACTCGACTCCAGGTACACAACGCGCAAGTCGAGCTGCCCGAGATTCACAGAATTTACAGAAAATGTTCGATTTTTGTGATTTATGTTGTTATCGGACGATAGATGTCTTATATCGGGATATGAGATTTTGGTCATATTGCACAGCCCTAATGTTTTCTATGTTCTGTTGAGAATATAATATGGGCTTATGGGAATTGCAAATCATTGCATTCAGTTTTTATTTCCACACCAACTGTTTTGGAATTGGGTTTGTACAAGTACTATATATATTTCAATTGTGAACATACCCAAGCCAGTCATACTTAGTGTTGTACTGTATCCTGTGTTATTGGTGTGCTTTCACAGAGAAAACACACAAAGTGTCTTTAGCTGTCATCCTTATGCTAAGCAGGTTACTGCTTACTGGACGTCCTCTGTAAACCTTAGAGATGGTTCTCTGGGAAAATCCCAGTCAATCAGGAGCTTGTGAAATACTCAGTCTGGCACCAGCAACCATGCCACATTCAAAATCACTTAAATGACCTTTCTTCCCCATTCTGGTGCTTTGTTTAAGCTTCAGCAAGGCTTCTTGAAGATGTCTACGTGCTTAAATGCGTTGAGTTGTTGCCATGTGATTGCCTGATTAGATATTTGCATTAAGGAGCAGTTGAACAGATGTATCAAACAAAGCGTCTGGCAAGTGTATAGAGTATAAGCGCTTTTCTAATGATAATTTCAGTGTAAACAGTTTGGAAGCATTTAAAGACAGAATATTATCTGAACATGTCTTCAACATGCAACAGAAAACAGGCCTTTAGAGTCTCTACTCTTTCTTTATATGCATAATGAGTGTAGGGGTAATGAGATCTGTATATAAATGTCTTCGGGCCAAAATGTTGCTGCTTCTGTTTTTCATTCCTGTAGGTGTCACATATGTAGGATTGGTTTGACTTTGAACAGATCGTTTTGAAGAAGACTCCAGTTTGTGAGCTACACGTCATGTTTGAGCTTTAAAATAGAAGCCTAACCTTGTAATTTCCTCTTGTTTTCCATCTCCATAGGCAAGAAGCGCCCTGGCAGAAAGATGATCTGTGTACCAATTGAAATACCTCCTGAGCTCCTGAAGAAACCCAAAGAAAAAATAGAGTACCACTGCTCAGTGTGTGGCAAAGAATTCCCACATGCCTACAAACTAGAGCGGCATGAGCTGATCCACACAGGAGAGAAACCGTACTGCTGCTCCATCTGTGGCCGTGGTTTTAACCAGAAGGGAAATCTCAAAACGCACTACAAAGTCCACTTAGGTGAGAGCTGCTAACAATGCAAATATAATACTTGATAAGCCAGAAGCATTGCATTGCACTGTTGCAATGCAATGGTGGCATCTTTCACTACTTTTAACATTGGCACTGTGTTTTATTTGCTCCAAATGCATTTTATCTTGGAACTGAAAATGCATGATTTATAGTTTTTCAGAGCAGCATTTGCCATGTATACTGCTGATAGATTTGTCTTGGTCATTAACTAGGAAAATTGTAATGATTAGTATATAATAATTAACCAATTTAAGTCTTGATCTCCTACCTCTTAATCCTATGACCTGAGTTATTTGCACTTTTACCCCAATGTAAAAGTGAGGTAAGCCTAAACGTCTATGAATTGCAGAGGTTGTTATACCTCAAAGCAAAAGAGTAAAACATGGTTTGAATCTTCCACTTCTCTGTAGGTCGTAAGGGTGCTGTGGATTTTGATGATGAGGTGAATCCCATAGCGTCAGAACTCTCTGAATATTTAAAATCCCTGCCTGGTGAGTCCAGGATTCGATCATCCCTCCGTTGCCTGGAATGTGGAAAAGACTGTGACAGTCATTCAGCTTTGCAAGCACACCACATCACTTCACACACTCAGACAGCCTCTGAATCGGGCCCCGTCAAGCCCGGCGCACCACCTCTTCTCTTCTGCCGACGCTGTGGCATTCAGTTTAGTGAAAAAGAAAAGCTGGAAGAACACATGAAGACCCACATCAAGGAGAAGCCCTACTCCTGTCCCGACTGTGGCAAGAGGTTCATTAACGAGAGCTACATTCAAATCCATCAGCGCATCCATACTGGGGAGAAACCGTTCCTCTGCTCTCAGTGCGGCAAAGGATTCCATACTGCCTCCTCCCTCAAGCTGCATGAAATGCAGCACTCCGGGGAGAGACCGTTTGCATGTTCCATTTGTGGGAAGACATTTCGGATTAACTCTTACCTAACAGCGCATTACCAGACCCACATTAAAGACAGGCCATTCATTTGTAGCATTTGTGGGAAAGGCTACTCCAGAGCAGAGGAATTAAAGGTGCACCACAGACTTCATACCGGAGAGAGACCCTACGAGTGCGGGGATTGTGGGAAGAGTTTCATTTATCGTCAGGGCCTTCGGCAGCATCAGCGCACACATGCTGGAAGACGCATCGGGCCAACCAGACAGCTTGGTAGACCAAAACAGCAGGCCAGGCTTGACATCTAACACTTAATCTATTGATGAATTTTTGTTGTTAACCGTGTTTGAAAGTATTGCAGTAAATTGTGTTTTTCTTCCTTCCATTCCTCACAGCTGCAGAAAAGATGATTACTGTGTCTAAAAAATGTACACCACAGACTTCCTGCGGGTTGCCAAGCGTTTGACTGTTTGTTGTGTGGTTTTTCTTCTATCCATGTTTTCTATTCATGTTTTTATTTACCACCACTTGTAGCTCATCTGTATAAATTTGAGTGCCTTTGTAACCTGCATGCCAAATACTAATTAATGTTTAAAAAAAAAAGATCATGCACTATATCCTTGATATTTTAAAATCCATGTTGATGGAATACAGACATTTTTAAGAAACAGAGATTGTTTGTTTTCTGTATTTGATATGGCATATTCATATCAGACTACAGGCTGAATTTGACAGATGGTTTCTCTCAAAAGCTCCACCAGCCAGGGTGCCGGTCTGGCTCAGTGGGTGAGCCTGGGATGAGTTAACAGAAGCTATGACTCATTAAACTTGGCAACATTTTCCCAGTCTTCTATTGTCCAATTTTGGGAAGCCTCTTTGGACTGTAGTCTCAGTTCCTGCTCTTAGCTGGCAGGACTGGCACTCATTGTGGTCTTCTGCTTCTGTAGCCCTTGTGCGTCAAGGTTCAGGGATGCTCTTCTGCATACCTTGGTTGTAATTTGTGGTTATTTTAATTACTGTTGCCTTCCCACCAGCTTGAATCAGTATGACCATTCTCCTCTGAGCTTTGACATCAACACAATTGTTTCAGTCAGAGAACTGCTGGTCACTGAATGTTTTCTCTTTAGTTGACCATTCTTTGTAAACCCTAGAGATGGCTGTTTGGGAAATCACAGTAGATGAATAGTTTTTACTGAGACTAGTATGTCTGGCCCCAACAATCTTACCAGGTTCGAAGTCACTTAAATCACCTTTCTTCCTCATGATGTGTACATGCTTAAATGCAAGTTGTGGCGACATGATTGGCTAATTGCGTTTTATGATTATTACTTTTACAGTGCGATCACCACACAGTTATACTTTTGGTGTCTTATTGTCAGTAACAGGAATGCAATAAATATTCTGAGAACGCACACACACTTAGCCACATAAATAAAACACAGACTCAGCTTAACACAGACTCGTTCCATATCAGCTGACCAAATTTAAAAAAAATTCCCAGCCTCACCATCTCTGATTTGGCTTAAAACATTCCAGGATAATGATGCACTTCTTATTAATAGGAAAAACTGCCCAATTTTTGCTCTCTAACGTTATTAATTTATTCACTAAATTCAAAAACAAAACTACATAACTGCATAAATTTAACATCAAATCCATGTAATTACAAAGATATTAGAACTTTAAAAAAGAAAAAAAAATATCGCACTCGAGGAAGACGCTGATCGTGAACGCGCTGCGCAGCCCCTGTTCTCCGCGCATGCTCTCTTTAATCGCACCGTCAGGTTTACAAAAGTTTACAAACACAATGGCTGAGGAGCAAGCTCAGACATCAAACGAAGAGCCCGTTCCTCTATTCCTCATAACATCAAACACGGCACAGCAGAATAAGAGGAAAAAGGTCGCAGACAAAGAGCGGGTTGAGGAGGGAGTGTCAGATGAAGCCAGGATAAACATCGGAGCCGCTTTTCAGAGGTGGAGAGAGATACGGGAACTGAAAGGGTTCAAAACTGATGCAGAGTTCGCGACATTTCTGCTGGACAGGTAATAATACCCCTAAATATAAGGGTAATAATAATAGCTCAGCTTCATTTCGTTTTGCTTCAGATAAAACACAACATACTGGCTGAAATGACGCATATCTTGTGAGGGATGTTGCGGTGGGCTAATGCTAGCTTGTTCCCAGTACTGAGGTTTGTGATGAGCGCGTGAGTGTGAGGGGTTGTGTCAGGAAGGACATCCGGTGTAAAAAAAAAAAAAACCCAAACAAAACAAAACTGCCAAATCATACATGTGGAGCTACAAAATGTGAATAAAGAGCAGCATGAGCTTTAGAAATAGGTTCACTGAGCTAAAGCTGAGGTAATGTTCATATGTTGATTAATGGTTTTCTTTCGTTTTTGATGTACTGCAGAATATTTTTATAAAATCCCAGGCCAGGAAAATCACCTTCATGTTTTTCTGTGTTTTATCTTCAGCTAATTTGACACAAAGGCATCTGCTGTGATGCTCACACCTTTGATAAAGTCTTGCGAGTGTCAGCTTCCTTTTTATAGGTACAAAAATATGTAAATGTACTGATCTGAATTATAATATTTCTGACTGTCTAGGCAAAATTTCCCAGATTCAAATCGAATAGAACTGAATCGAATCGTGGATCGAATCAATTTGGGACCTTGTGAATCGGAATCGAATTGATTCTAGAAATCAGTGACGATACCCAGCCCTAATAGTCTCCTTTGCATTAAAAAAAGACCTTCTTTCGGCTGCACCCTTTAGGGGTCGCCACAGTGGATCATCTCCCTCCATCTCACCTTAGCATCCTACTCTGTATGGAAATCTCATTCTTTATTATCTGTATGTTGGATTTGGCCGAAAGCCCTTTCTGATGTAACCCTCCTCCTTTATCCAGGCTTGGGACCGGTGTACACTGGCTTATGCACTCACGTTGTGTTTCAATAAATGGAAAAAGGAAAAAGAACATAAACGCCCTAATCAAGTTGGAAAAACATCATAAAGTCTAAGAAAGTTTTTGAGTTGTTGACATCATACTCAAATTAATGGCACACAAAAGTAAATATTTCATTAACCACAATACATTTGATTAATTGTGCAAATGTTTGTTATTCAAATAAATATTTTTCCCACACTTAATCTGTAATATGGTAATTGTTTGTAACCATAGACTGTATATCAAAGATGGATGTAAGCACATCACCCAGTGCTCTGGAACACTGCATTTTGAAGCCTCAACGTTAACGCTTTGGCCCATTTGTGGGCATTTATCTATGCAAAGTGTAGGATTGTGGGTATCCCTCCTACACAGTTGTCCTTCCTCAGAGTGTAGTGTGACAGTGATCACCCTAATAAGTAAAATGCTGAGTGATTGAAAATTTAGAATTTAGAAGAGAGAGTTTACCAGGAAGGGAAAAAATGTCAAAACGTCAGGTTATAATGTTTTTGTTTTCCATGTTATGAGTTAGATCTTGCATACTATGCTTTTGTGCAATTATTTAAATAATTAGTAACCAGATGTAATTTTTCTGGATTTTAGTTTGACCTCCATGAATTGATTTTCTGCAGAGATGCTGACTTTGAAAAGGAAGAGCTGAGTTTCAGTGAAGCAGAAAAACCTTCTGCTCAGGTTTCAATGTCAAGGTATATGTTTTTTTATTAATAGTATTTATTAGGTTTTTTTTAAATTAATTATACTGTTGTCACAGATTATAATTTCTAGGTCAGACATATATGCATACCTTGTACAGTTAGATCCTGTATTGACAGACAAAGTTCAATAAAACAGTCATAATCTGAATGAATTGCAGACTTTTACGTTTTTTTAAAAAGTAGTACATTAGCAGAATTGCAGAAGTTTTTCTATACAGTCTTATATTTTTCAAGGTCTCATATGTAATTGGACAAATTCACACTACCGTGAATGGAATGCTTATTTTTAATGAGTGAAAAATCAACTTGTCCAAAACAAGTATGCATAAAACTGCAAAGCTATTTGTCATCCCTCAAACTTGATGATGACTTCAATTTCATCGTAATTCCCATACACATAATATTTACATCAACTTATAAGTCATTGCAATAATATCTGTTTTCCTTCGCTGTAGTGTTGACCGTGCAGAGGACTGGGTGTGTTCTCCGGGCGAGGACAAAGGAGACGTTTCAACATCAGAGGATGAGGATGGCGTCAGTGACAATAAGGATGAGGACTACATCCCTCCAGTATACATTCAGTAAGCCCTTCATTTAAAAGTTCAGGTTCATGAAAAGTTGTTTCATTTTTCTCACTGTCTTCCCTGTTCCTCCAGCGGTGGCAGTGCCAGTAAAACTAAAATGCACTCGGATGCTCCAGAGTTTATCAGCAAAGGGGACGCTTCACATGAAACTGCAGAGCCAACGGAGCAGCTGCCAAGGGGCATGGAAAAAACGAAAGTCCAGAGTGAGGACAAAACTGGTTATCCTGCATCTATTATTTACTGCTGACTGCTTTAAGCACCAGCAGCAGTTGTGTGAGATTAGAAGGATTTTATATAAATGTCTCTGGGTCGAGTGCATCAACAGATCGTTATGAAGCCTGGTCTTCACTGATAACTTAGTTTTTGTTTGGACCAATTTGTAGGCTAGTTATTGTGTACAGCATCCACCAAACAAACCTAGTCTTACTTATACCTGCTGTTAGCATGTGAGTGCCCAGGTCATTTTGGCTGTTGCCTAGCAACCACAATGTAAATTTGTCGTTTCAAAGTTGGCAGCAACTCTGAAATAAGACAGTGAACAAAGTCAAGAAGATCACACTGATTATGTAAATCACTGACAACTTTTAACTTTAGCTTAAGTGTTACTTTGACAATATGAAAAAAGTCTGAGTTACAAGCCTTTCAAGCACACGCAGTGGGTCAAAATTTAGCTTTTTAAGACGCCATATCGAGATCGCCCCATGAAGTTTTCTCAAGTTCAAAAGAATATTTAACAGATCTTTAAAGGAAGGAAGTTACAGTTTCAGAGAGTCACTGGGCTGAGTGCGTGCACTGGGTCCTAGTACGCAATAAATGGGGATTATTTTCAGCTTTCTGTCATGTAATGCTGCTTCTGAATTAAAAACACTGGGGCCATGTTGGTTCAGCCTCTTTATTCACAACAGAGTTCAAGCCAGTATTTTAAAAATGTTTTTGAACACTTTTACACAGGGAAGGCAAGTAGGCCTTGAGTTAATGTAACCTGACAAAGTTTTTTACATATCTTTAATTTTTCTTTTTAAAATTTGTTTGCTTGAACTGTTGAGTAAAACAATATTACTATAGCAAATCGGTTTATTTAAATATGCTGTAGTTTAAAGAAGTTGTGGTTGTTAACAGCGCTGATAGTGGATTTCTCAAAAAAAAACAAAACAAAAGTTGACTTGTGCTATCCTCCTGAGGTTTTCTTTGTTACGATGGCAACACATCCCCACAAGTCACTGGAGAAAAGTTAAACACCAAAGTCGTCATTATTTTCTCTGTAACTTGGTGTCTATAATGTTATGCTGATTTTTGTGTCATTTGTTCCCACAGGAAACAGCCCTCATCATCAGCTTGGAAACCAGGAAATGAATGCTGCCAACAAACACTTCCAAGTGAGCAAATTTACACAATTTACTTATAGATTAAGACTTCTTAAACTGTTGATAGCTGTGCACCTATTTAAGGAGGCGGGGTGTGATTCAGGGCTACACAGAAAAACTACACGCATTAAAAACCTTTGCACAGCATTTTTAATGTGTCTGTTCAGAGGATGGACCTTTTTAAAGGGACCTACACTATTATCAGTGATTACAAGCTCCAAAG